CGGCGCGGCGGAGGCCCCGCCCCCGGGGTTCCGGACACCGGGGTCAGCAGAAAGCTTCGCTCCGGCGGTGGGGTAAGGCGCAGACCTTGAAGGGCCTTTGCAAACTGGAGAATGCCTGACACTGCACGCAGTGGCCACTGCGGCCGGGCCGACAAACTGACCCGGTCCAGCCGACCGCCTGGGCGGGCATAAGCCCCCCAACCTCAGGGAGAAGCCCTCCCGCCAGACGGGTGCGGCGCCCGCGCACCCCAACCGCTGCTCGCCGGCCTCCGACTACGTGGGGGTCCCCAGAGAGCCCCAGCGCTGTCCCTGCGGGGGTCAGGGTGTCCGTGGCTGGCGCGCAGGGTGGGGGGCTGGTGGGAGCCCGCCCAGGCCCCCTCTAATTGTGCAGCTTAGTCCAACCTCAGCAGCGAGGAGCCCACGAGTGACGAATCACGCGGGGTGGGGACGCCATCGGGGCATGTCCCTCGCCGGTGCCCCATAAGGGCAGGGCTCTGTCGCCCCCAGAGGTGCGACGGCCAGGGCGCTGCTTGGCTTTCAGGCCTTTGGTTCTCTTAAGTCGTGGGGAGCCCAGCCCCGGCCCCCAGGTCCGCTGCCCCACACCGCAGGAGGGCTCTGCCCGCCCTGCTCTCCGCTGCCTGGGGAGGGGAGTAGGGGCGGGTTTTGGGGTGCAGGTTCTGGCTGCCAGAGACCACGGGGCGGGAAGTGGGAAGGGGCGCCTCGGGCTTGGGCACCCCAGGCCCACAGCCGCCGGGGCCTGCTCCCGCCACAGCCCACCACTCGGCTGTCGGGTGGCCAAGGCGGCCCCGCCCCTCGCCCCGGCTGTAGGGGCTCCCCGTGCGCGACCCCCCTTCACACTGCGCAACCGCAGCTCCCCCCCCCCAGGGAGGGGCTGGCAGGTGAGGCCGCATTGGGGTGCCCGGACCCAGACAGTTCAGCTCCTCTCCCCAGCGTGCCCCAGCCGGCCTGCGCGTGCGCTCGGCCTTCCAGCCAAGCGGGGTGACCCTGGAAATGAGGGGAGTTTACTTTATGGCCAGGCCTGTTCCC